CAACCGTTCCATGCTGGGAGCACTCGCTGGAGCTGAAACAACCAAAAATGTTCCCAGGCGTCACCTGTGTCCCCTGGGGAGCAGACTGTCTCCCAGGTGAGGTCCCACTGACCCCAAGAGACTGCGTTCTGCAGCCATCAGGCTCCAGAGGTCCTGGGACACTGCACACTCTTCAGGACACACGCTGAGTGGGGGTGACTCAGGCGCTGGGGTCGCCCTGGCTTGTACCCTCTAACCCCAGGGATTTACTCTCGTGTCCAGCGTGAGCAGGGACCAGACTCAATCTTTTTTCCAAATAATTAATGCAGGGTTTGTCCCCCTTGGCCCCGCTGACATTCTGGGCAGGTCACTCTTTGTGGGAGTGCCCCGGGCACTGTGTGGGGGGTGGTCAGCAGCATGCCTGGTCCCCACCCCCTCGGTGGCAGGAGCACCCCAGTCTGCCGACCACAGACATCTCCAGACACTGCAAATGTTGGGAAGCAAAGGGCCTGGTTCTTGAAGTTGAGGGGCGGGGGTGGCCCTGGAACCCCCAGGGGAGGCCGGTTGAAACACAGATGGCTGGAGCCCAGCCCAGAGTTTCCGGTTCAGCAAGTGCAGGGTGCAGCCCGAGAATCTGCATTTCTGAAGGAGGGCGCGCTGTAGTGGTCCTTTGGGAGGGCATCCCTGCTTCTCTGAGTGACGTGAAGCAGGCGCCGGGTCCCTTGATGGTGTGGGGGGGCAAGACTATGGGTGTGGATGTGTTGGGACTCCCCCAGGTCGCTCCTGCTGATCAGGACTGAGGCCAGGGATTGGGACGTGCTGCCTTTGGTCGGTAAGTGACAATAGTGCCCCGGGGGTCCTTAGCGGCTGGGCAGGCTGCACGGGGCTCCTTGGGGAATGGGTGGGCCATCCCATCTGCCTTGTTAAAGTAATAATAATAATAATCCTGACATTGGGGGGTCCCCTATATTGAGCACTTGCTCCGGGCCAGGGAAGGTAGACACCACCGTGCTGTGTCTTGCAGAGTGGACATTCTCGATAAAAAAGCTATCGCCAGGGAGGAACAAGTGCTGGGAAGACTATCAGACCAAAGGGTGAGCTTCTCCTGACATTCCAGTCCCACGTGGCCAGGCTTTGGGCGAGGTTCATTGGAACTGTGTACCCCTGGGGTGCATGTCCAGCCCCAAGAATTGTGAAGAGATCATTTCAAGATTGTGGAACTTAGGCCCTGTTTGGAGTGGGTACCTCCTCGATGCTAGCAAACCCCGCCTTGGGGTGTGAGTGGGGAAGGCACATGCATAAACCTGATCATAAGTGTCAAATGACCAAAAGGACAGTGGCTGCGGTGTTTTCTCATCTATAAAACGAGGATACTTGGGGCGCCTGGGTGGCTCAGTTGTTAAGCGTCTGCCTTCGGCTCAGGTCATAGTCCCTGAGTCCTGGGACTGAGTCCCGCGTGGGGAGGGGCGGTCCCTGCTCAGCGGGAAGCCTGCTTCTCCCTCTCTCCCACTCCCCCTGCTTGTGTTCCCTCTCTCGCTGTCTCTCACCCTCTGTCCTATAAATAAAATCTTTAAAAAATAAAATAAAATGAAGATACTTCTGCCCTGCCATATAGGATTGCCACAAGGACAAAGGAGATGATAGGACAAAGGAGATGATGTCAAGTGCCTTGAATGGTGTGTTGGGGGGGGCGGATGCCCTCTGGAAGTGTGCATCAGGATGAATTGTTGTTAGTCTCAGCCCTGGGGCCTGGGAAAGCAGAGAACCAGGTGGGTTCTATCATTCTGTGCAAAGTAAGGGTTAACGAGATGTGAGCAAAGGACTGGGTTTTAGAACTTCAGGACCTTTTGGTTTGTTTTTCAGAAACGAATGTTTTCTGGCCCCGGGGGAAGTGACAGATGGTTGGCGGGTGATCAGTCCTGCGGCTGCAGGAGCGTCATAGCGGCCTGGAGCTCTCCAGGTCTGGCTAAGTAGGCCGGGATTCGCTTGTGAAGAGACCTGCTGGGGGCAGAGGAGTGTCCTATAATATTCAGGAAGCAGGATGTGGCAACTTTCCCTCCTTGCGGAACCCCGGGGGCTTTGATCTGGCTTCCCTGGGCATTGAAGGACACGCTCGCCCCACCCGCCCCACATTTTCAGGAAGAATCTGGTCTGAGGGCCCCCACAGAGTGGGAAGCACCTGGCCCACACCAACGTCACAAGGCGGACATCGACAGGGTGATGAGCAACAGAAGTGAGTGTCATACCGCTTGTCATGAGAACATTGATTTTCGCCCCAGCCCCACGGAGAGAGGGGCAGGCCTATGGGAAGCCCTTCCCTTCCCCAGACTCATTTGTTGACTGCCTTGTGGACAGGGAAGAGCTTCCGGGCACCCAGTCTGCGCAGCTGACCCAGGCTTCCTACACCCCAGGCCACTTTCTGCGGCCACTCTGCTTACAAGTGGGGAACCAGTCCCCAGGTTTTCCCAACTTGTTGGTTCTGGACCCGAGTTGCCGGTCACCGTGAGTTTTGAGGATTGTGGGACTTGTGAAGGTGCTACGTGATGAACAGAAGGGACCCTGTTGATGGAAGCTCTGGGTTTATAAAGGACTGAAATCATAACTCCGATTAGCTTAAGTCCTAAAAACCACACCCAACAAAACAAAGCTCAGAAAGCCCAGGGGTTCCTGATGTGCGCAGGGCTAGATCCAGGCGCTCAGCGTTTTGGGATCTGCTCTCTTCTGTTTGGGCTTAATTCCCAGACAAACTCCACCACTGGGTAGTAAAAATTACTGCAGGAAGCTCCGGGCTTCAACCCTACAGCACAAGGAGAAGGACTCTGCTTGTATTTCAAGCAAAATCTCAAGGCTGATGACTCTCATTGGTTCCATTGAGTCATAAGTCCGTTTTTTTGTTTTTTTTTTAAGATTTATTTATTTGTCAGAGAGACAGACAGAGACAGGCAAAGAGAGAAGTAGGCTCCCTGCCAAGCAAGGAGCTCGATGCAGGGCTCCATCCAGGACCCTGGGATCATGACCTGAGCCGAAGGCAGACGCGTCACCGACTGAGCCACGCAGGCGCTCCGGGATCCTTCCCTTTTTGAGGCGGAATCATATTCCAGTATCTGGATGGACCACGTTTCGTTTATCCATTTACCCGTTACTGGAATTCTCACCCTTTATCTGTGAACATGGCTGGGCTGGTATCCATTTGGGTCCCTGCTTTCAGTTCCCCGGTGTGTATCTAGACTTGGAATTGCTGGGCTACAGGGTTGTTCTCTTGGGAGATCTGCCAAACTGTCTTTCACAACCCCACCTGTGTGTCTTTTTGCCTACGGAGAGACTAAAAACTGGCGGGACAAGGGGCGCCTGGCTGGCTCAGTTGGAGGAGCGCACGACTCTTGATCTTGGGCCAATGTGTCTGAGCCCCACACTGGGTGTAAAGCTAACTTAAAAAAAATAGGCAGATTCTGGGGTGCCTGGGTGGCTCAGTGGGTTAAGCCTCTGCCTTCGGATCAGGTCATGATCCCAGGGTCCTGGGATCGAGCCCCGCATGGGGCTCTCTGCTCAGCAGGAAACCTGCTTCCCCCCCATCTCTGCCTGCCTCTCTGCCTACTTGTGATCTGTCAAACAAATAAATAAGATCTTAAAAAATATAGGTAGAGGAGCGCCTGGGTGGCTCAGTGGGTTAAAGCCTCTGCCTTTGACTTGGGTCATGATCTCAGGGTCCTGGGATCGAGCCCAGCATCGGGCTCTCTGCTCAGCGGGGAGCCTGCTTCCCCCTCGCTCTCTGCCTGCCTCTCTGCCTACTTGTGATCTCTGTCTGTCCAATAAATAAATAAAATATTTTAAAAAATAGGTAGAAAAATACGTTGAGGAGGATCCTTTTTTTTTTTTTTTTTTTTTTTAACATGCAGAAAATCCAGCCTTTGCTTCTAACATGCCAGCCAAACACCAACGTGGAATGGAAAAAAAGAAAAATCAGCAAAACAGGCGCTCTGGGCCGGTGCGAGTGGCACATCCAGGGCTGAAGGGAACGGAAGCCACGTGACTCTCACTTCTTCATTTGGGAGACAAAGGAAGGTGACCAGCCGGAGCGAACGTGTTTCCCGGAATGCTGTTTCCCACGAATAAACCGGGACACGGGGACGCTCTGCAGACGGAGGGAATTGGCGGGGTTCGATTCTCGGGGCCCTGCGGGGTTGAGCCTGGAACGCAGGCTGGGGCAGCAGGAACCGGCGGAGGAGGGGGCTCCGCTGCAGCCGCCCCTCCCAGAGCAGACACCTGACAGATCTGGGGGGTTCCGTGGTTCCTGCAGGAAGGAAACAGGGAGACGGAGGAAACGTGAAATGCCCCCCCTCGGGGCGCTTCCAGATCCGAATTTTTCTCCTGCTCAGTAACGGGGGCAAACCGGGGTCTCCCAACTTGTGCGCCGCGGACATCGGGCTTGGTTGTGCCGCGGGCACTCGGGGGTGTCGAGTGACATCGCCGGGCTCAGGCGCCGCGTGCGCATCCCCACCCTCACCCCGTCCCAACCACCACAGAGGTCCCCAGACGTCGCCCAACGTAGAGAACCGCTGGGTTCAATGTTTCGCCAGAACGAATACCTGGAGCTGCTCCTAAAATTAGCACGTTTTGGCGAAAAGAGCCAAGAGGCCCCCTTCGCCGGCTGTACAGATGGGAAAACCGAGGCCACGAATCGCCCAATCCTAGACCACTATGAGAAACTGACCCCCCAGGTCTCTGACGACAGCCCTTCTGAAGCTACGCGGCAGCAGCAAACTGGGTGTCGTGTCCGCCTCTGCCTCAGTCTCCCTAGTCCGATTTCCCCAACGGCCCCGCGGTCCCCTTTTCCGTCCGCCCAGAGCTGTCTCGAAACCTAAACTCAGCTCTCCCCGCGCTCCCGCGTGTGTCGGGAGCGGCGCTGGGGAGATGGGCGGTGCTCCGCGGCCCGGCGCGCAGCCTTGTGGGGATTGTAGTCCCGGCGCCCGCCCCTGTGCCGCGCCGACCCCGCCCCTGGAACTACGCTCCCGTCGTGCCCCGCGGCGCGGGCGGAGGCGGGGCAGGCGGTCGGTTGCTAAGCCTTGGGAGGCGCTGTGCTCGCGTGCGGTTCTTCAGGTAAGCGCGGGGCCCCGGGGTCTCGGCTCTCGCGGCCCGGGCTCCCACAGACGGCGAGCCGGGGTGGTGACGGGCGCGGGGGGTAGCGTATCTCGGCTGGCGGGGGACGCCGGCCGTGCCCGGCGCCAGGAGGCTGCCGGAGGCACCGCTCCGGCGCGTGTGCGCGTGCGCGTGGGGCGGCCCGGCCGCGGGCCGCCGCTCCCCAGCCGTCGACCTTGTGCGCGTGCGCGCGCCCCTGCGGGCGCGGGCTGGAAGCCCCGTACGCCCGGCTGCTCCGTTCGGCCCCTCACTCTCCCCGCGCGCGTCCCTGGGGTCGTCGCGGCCAGCCCCCTGCCTCCCGGTCCCGCGTGTGCTGGCGTCCCGCCCCTGCAGGCCTCTCCACGTTGTAAACGGGCGCTGCCCTGACGCTTACCGACAGCGTGAGTGGTCCGGGGCTTCTCCTGGCCTGGCCCGGGCAGGGGGGCTTTCCTCTTGCTCCCCGCGCGCCCGACCTCCTCGGACCTTCGTGCACCGAAGGGCGTGGGCCGCGCAGGACGCCCCGCCGTCGGAGAACTCCGTATCAGCCGAGGGGGGGGGAGCTCGTTAGGGTGCAGATGGCAGCTCCCTGCCTCCCCGCTGGGCCAGGAGCCGCCCGGGTTCCGCCCTCGGAACCAGTACCGAACCGGCACCTCGCGCGCTGCGGGCGGGCCTGGGACTCCAGCCCTGGCTGTCCTGTTCAGGACTGCCTGCCTTCCAGGGCCTGCTGCGGGTCACTGCCTCCGAGGAGCCCTCCTTGACTCTGCCCACCCACCCCAGGGCATCACTGGCCCCGGGCCAGTGTGGGGTCTCTTGTGGGTTTCGTCCCTTTCTGCTTCAGACAGCCCTGCGTGATGGTGTTGCACTCCCATTTTTCAGAGGGGGACGTTGAGGCTGGGGCTTAGGCCGGGTGCCCCCGGGTTCACACCCAGCTTCTGACCTGCCTTCCTAATCCAGTGGGGAGATGGGGCCTTGAGCCTGAGGTTACTGGGTGTTGTCTGCAGGGCGACTCCTCTGCCTGAATCAGTGCCATTTCCTGATTCCTTTCCAGCGCCAGAGCCTTCGGGACTTACAGGGCACCCCTTCTGTGGTGGGGTGACACGGGCGGGGGGGGCGGGTAGTCCTAAGCTGCCGGACACTTGTGTTAGGGTCCTGTGTCCCTGGCCCACCTGTGGGGGCTCCCATATGCAGTTGAGGCTCCCTCCTCCTCGTCCAGGACTTAGTGCCTGAGGCAGAGGCACTGGGACCCTGCATCGTGGGTTCTGAGCTGGCTGTGGCTGACCCCGGACGGGCCAGGGATGGCACTGAGCTGGGCGAGCATAGCAAATGGTGTGGGGGGGGTGTGGAGGCGGCTGGGTGCCTGGAGCCAGGCCCTGATCTCAAGCTTCAGGATGAGAGAGGAGCCGGGTGCCCCAGATGCCTCCAGCCCGCTGCACGTCCCGGCTGGCTGAAACAACCTTGGTGCGCGGACCCTGTTTGCCACTGGACTGGCACTGCCCTCTGGACGTTGGGCTTGGGAGCTCAGGCGGGGACATCGTCTCCAGAAGCTGTTTACTCCTTCTCTGTGGAATGGGCTCCAGAGGCAGTCCGAGAGCTGGTCGGATCCCAACTCTGCCTTCTCTGCCTGGCAGCTCCAGGAAGTCCTTCCAGCACACAGAGCCTCATCTTGTCTTGTAGAAAGGGGACAGTCCCCGAGCTCCCTTCTGGGTCACTGGGAGGACACGTGGCGGCTACAGTACCAGCAGCTGTCATCCGAGGCATAGGGCCTTGTTTGGAGTCTGCTGACTTGGCAACTGCCCGGTGCCCTCACCCACCCCCCCTGCTTTTTTTAGTGGCTTCACCGAGGGGCAGTTCACCCCTTTAAAATGGACAGGTCTGTGGTTTTTAGGACATTTGTGGGGTTGTGGAACTGTCATCACAGTCTTGTTCCTGAACACTCCACCCACCCCCAAAAAAGCCCCGTCCCCATTCGTAGTCATTTCTTATCCTCCCATCCCCGGCCCCCATGAGCCCCCTTCCTGTCCGTGGAGGAGCCTGGTCTGGACGTGTCACACGCGTGGACTCAGCCCATGTGGCCTTCTGTGTCTGGTTTCCTCCCTGAGTGTTGTGGGCTCGGGGTCTGTCCCCGGGGTGCATGGGGACACCTCACACCTGCCGGCGGCCGGGGGATGCTCCCGTGCATGGGGGACCCACTGTGTGTCTCCATTTATCCATCGAAGGACACTTGGGCTATGTACACGTTCCAGGTGCCGTGAAGGCTCTGCTGAGAGCACACGTGTGCTCTTCTTGGTGAACGTGTGTTCTCGGAGCTCCAGGCGCATGGCTGGGTGTGGAGTGGAGCAGCCGCGGGTCAGACAGAGATGCTGGGGCTTTACGCATCCTGCCTAGAGGCTGGCACCCCGGCCGGCAGTGTCCTGGAGCAGGCTTCTTTACTTGTCACATGTTCTGTTTTCATCGGAGTTGTACTCTCGGAGGGCCAGGTGGGGCGCGTATTTTGCCATGGAAACCTGGAGCTTTCGGGGTCCGTGCGGGCTGTGGGGTCCTGGGCGTGGCATGTGCTGGGGGCAGATTCAGAGTTGGCACCGTGGGCCCTGCTGTGGGTCCTGCCTGGCACGGTACCGTGAGTGTGGGAGGCCCTCCACGCCTTCCAGTCCTCGTGGCTGCCGCCTGCACCCAGGCTCTGCACGCTGGCCAGATGTGTATCGTGAGCTCAGGACAGCCTGCAGGGTGAGGCCGTCCCCTGCCTCCCAGCGGGTCTGGCTAGTGAACACCCGTGCTGGGGCGGCTGGGGAGTGGGCTGGAGGCGTGTCGTGAGACGTGGAAGCCCACGGTTGTCAGAGGTGATTCCAGCCCTTCCCTGTCCACAGGGAGGGAGGCAGGAGGGGGCCGGTCTGCCCCGGACACCGGCCAGCTGTGTGGTGTGGGCACGCGGGGGCAGCAAGGATCCCCCACGGTCGCGTCGAGATGACCAGGAATTGGGGTCTGACGTTATCCGTGGCGGTACCGACCGACAGGGGCACAATGCGAGGTACGGACGTGATGTTACATGTTCTAGAAGCCACCGTTCCCAAAGCACAGAGAGGCAGGTGAAATGAGTGCTGTCACCTGGCGGACGGTCGGCGTGAAGACGAGTACTGAGACCGTCCGTGTTCTTTTTCTCACTGGGTGAGACCTGGCGTGCATGTCCACAGTGGCCCGTGTCCCAGGGAGACAGAACGTCAGTGCTGGGCTGAGTTCTGCAGACCAGGACCTGGTGGGATGTGAGCACGAGCACAGCCACCGGTGCACTCTGTGTGCGCGGACTCGGACGAGCCTTCGGATTCCGCACGCTCCCGGGACCTGGGACGGACTTCTGCGCTCTGCCGGGGCCTCTGCAGCTGACGGATGAATGTCTGCTCCGATCTCTGTCTCCCACAGTCAGAGCCGTGCCGAGGATGGAGGCAGCCCCGGGCCTCGGGGAGCAGCGCGTGGACGGCAACACCGGGAGCCCGGAGCCGGAGCCTGAGCCCGTGCTGTGGCAAGCCCTCCCGGTCCTGTCTGAGCAGCAGTCCAGGGACGTGGAGCTGGTACTGGCCTACGCCGCGCCCATCCTGGACAAGCGCCAGACGTCGCGGCTTCTCAAGGAGGTGTCGGCTGTGCACCCACTGCCCGCACAGCCTCATCTGAAGAGGGTGCGGCCCAGCCGCGGTGCCGGCCCGCATGCGCTCGAGATGCTGCTGTGCCTGGCGGGGCCGGCTGCAGGGGCCAGGTCGCTCGCCGAGCTCCTCCCGCAGCCGGCCGTGGACCCTCGTGGCCTGGGACAGCCCTTCCTGGTGCCCGTGCCGGCCCGGCCACCCCTGACCAGAGGCCAGTTCGAGGAGGCGCGTGCCTACTGGCCCACGTCCTTCCACGAGGATAGGCAGGTGACTCGCGCCTTGGCCGGGCGGCTGTTCTCGGCACAGGAGCGCACGGCGATGCAGGCCCACATGGAGCGGGCCGTGTGGGCAGCGCGCCAGGCAGCCGCCAGGGGCCTCAGGGCGGTGGGAGCCGTGGTGGTGGACCCGTCCTCTGGCCGCGTGCTGGCCACAGGCCACGACTGCAGCAGCAGAGCCCACCCCCTGCTGCACGCCACCATGGTGTGTATTGACCTGGTGGCGCAGGGCCAGGGCCGCGGTGCCTATGACCTTGGCCCCTTCCCTGCCTGTTCCTTCGCCCCGGCCGGCGCCCCCCAGGGTGTCCGTGTGGGCTCTGTGCGCAAGCTGGACGAGGACGGGGACGCGTGCTCGGACAGCCTCCCCTACGTGTGCACGGGCTATGACCTGTACGTCACCCGGGAGCCCTGTGCCATGTGCGCCATGGCCCTGGTGCACTCGCGCGTGCAGCGCGTCTTCTACGGCGCACCCTCGTCCGACGGCGCCCTGGGCACCCGCTTCCGCATCCACGCCCGGCCCGACCTCAACCACCGCTTCCAGGTGTTCCGTGGGGTCCTGGAGGCCCAGTGCCGCCAGCTGGACCCTGGCTCCTAGGCACCGACAGCTCGGCTCCTCCAGACTGCAACGTCGGGCCTCCACCTCTCTCGCTGCCCCGCGGGCGTGTGGGGACACGTTTCTGCCCCAACGGAGCTTTCCCCAGGCTTGAGCTTCGTGTGGTCCAGCCTGGGCGGGGGGCTGGGTCCTCGGACTTCCTTCTCCAGCCACCTCTTGCCCCGAGCCTGAGAGTCTGCTGGGACAGGATCCCCTTTGTCCTGGGTGTCTGGAAACGGCTCTGCTTGTGAAAATAAATAGCCCCAAACCAGGTTGGTGTCTGTTGACAGAGGCAGGGGACCGTGGTAGGTAAGGGTCCTTGGATCAGGTGACCACTTTTGTCAAGATTTGGGGTTTATACACGGGAAGGGGAGCTTCTGAGCCATGTGGGGGACGCACGCTGGCCCAGGGGGGCACCTCCTGGCCTGTGTCCTGGTTCTGGAAGGGTGGGGCTGGCCGCGGGGTGTTTACACAGGGCGGGGGTGGCCTGCCAGCCTGCGCTTCGCTCCCTGAAAGACTTCTTCTGGTCGTCGTCCCGTTTCCTTTTCTTCAGGTGGGGCCAGCTGGGGCTCTGCCCCAGAGCAGTTAGCAGTAGAACCAACGTGGGTTTGTCCAGCACGTGCGGATTTGGGATCCCTGTGGGGCCTAGTTCATCCCTGCTCTGAGCTTCCCCTGGAGCTCTGGGGCTCTGCTCCCAGCCCCCACCAGCCCACAGGCACAGGGCAGGGGAGGGGGTCTGCCCGCAGGCCAGTGCCATGGATGGGCAGTGTGGTGGGGCTGTGAGCCCACCCGGCATGTGGGCACAGAGGGCTGGGCTGGGCCGGACCAGAGAGGGTATCCTGGGGGTGAGGGGTGTGGACTCTGGGAGCTCAGTGTCATTGGAACCTTGTCACCTAGAATGTGCGTCTGAAAGCTGTCTGTAGGTTCCCAGTGTTGGGGACGGTGAGGCCCGGGTGGGCGCTGGGCACGGCCCCGTGAGCCCAGCTTCTGTCCTGGTGATGGCATTGCCCACCCGCAGGGCCCTCAGGGGACTGGCAAAGTCCCCACAGGTGTACATGTTGGTGGCAGCCTGCTCCACAGGGCTCCTCCGTGATGCCGGCTCCCCTGGTTCTGTGTAGGAAGGGTCGCCAGTGGCCAGCTGCATCCCCAGCTGCCTCACTTGTGTCACTGCCAGGCCCTTAGCTCCGTCAGGCTTGCCGGGGCGAGGGTGCAGACCAGAGAGGCCGTGTGACTCGTGTGGTGTCACACAGCACTGAGCGTGGGCCCAGTTCTCAGCGGTGCTGAGGAGGTGCTCGGAGCTGTTCATGGATAAAGAGGGAGCTTGGGGGGTGGGGGGGACAAGGAGGTGGGGTGGGTCCACGGGGTCCCAGGAACATGTTGGTTCTGGCTGGGTGTGTGTTGGGGCAGCAGGCCGACCCCCATTCTGCTAGCACAGATGCTTCCTGGGAGGCTCTGTAGGTGGCACGTGGGGCCGGCCTGACTGGTTTGGGGTGCCCTTTGGGACCAGAGCACGGATACCCCCGGGGCGGCCTGGAGCTGAGGCCTCTAGCTGCGGTTGCCGCTGACTGTGCACCTGGGGTCGGGGTCCCCCAGCAGCCTTGAGGACCTCCTGACTGTGGCTGTCTCCCCTCCAGGTGGCCGTAGGCTTCTGCCCCGCCCAGTTGTCACAGCGGAAATGTCTGGTGAGTCTCGCCCAGAGGTCCTGCGGTGGGGGATCCTGTTGGAGGTGTCCCCTAGTGTCCAGACCCACGCTGACAACCCCCGGGGGGGCACACGCCACTCTCCTCCTCCTGTGGAGGGCGTTGGGGTCAGTTCCTCGCTCTGAGCCCGACGGGAGGGCGATGCCAGTTTCTGTGGGAGTTGTCTGCCTGGCCCCAGGCTCTCTGCCCTGGGGCCCATTTGGTCGTGGACGTCAACGTGAGGGGTGAGGTTTGGGCGTCTGGGTTCATGCCTGCGTGTGTCACTCTCACTCTGTCACAGGCGTGTCCACCTCGTCCCTCTCAGAAGGGGGCGTGGAATGTGCAGGTAAAAGGGGGGACCCGGGGCCCCAAGGCCGCGGTGAGGTGCCCAGAGTGCACACCGTCTGCCCACGTTCACCCCCGCCCTGTGTGTGTGTGTAGTTAGTTTCAGCATCACCCCGGTCCTCGGGTGGAGGGCGGGGTGGGGCGCTGGGTGCTTGGGGTCATCCGGCTGCTGGTGGCCCTGCGATTTGGACCCAGGCTCCTGAGGTCTGAGTCTGCGCGGAACGTGGCCCAGGGCTTCTTACTTGCCAAGAAAACAGGGTTTCAAAGGGATGTGACTTGGCGGGGGTTTCCACCTCTGGGTCGCAGCCTGACCACGGGAAGCGTCACCCTGTCCTTGCTGTGGGTGGCAGGAGGGGTGCGGGTCAGACATCCAGGAAGGAGAGAGGTGCTGGTGGCCGAGGGAGCAGCGGGGCAGGGGCCGGGTTGGGCCCTTGTTGGGGCCTTGGACAGGACCCGTGAAGGGTGGTGACCAGGGACTGTGAGCCCGTGCTGGGGGCCCTTCTCCCACCTGTGATCACAGAGGCTGAGAGCAAGCACGTTCAGAGCGGGATCAGCTCCCGTCTCTGCTCAGGGGCCCTTCTTGCCTCCTGCGGTCATGCCTCAGGGCCCTCTGCGGCCAGTAGGGTGCAGTCCGCCTCTGCCTGTCCACCCCTCCCTGGTCCCTAGGCTCCCCGCTGCCTCTCCATCAGCTCACACTGACGCCCTTCCCCAGAGCCCATGGTCTCTCCTTTTCATTTCCTGGAGTTTCTGCTAAAGTACCAACTTTTTTTTTTCTTTTTAAGATTTTAATTGTTAGAGCACACAAGCAGGGGAGAGGGGCAGAGAGGGAGAAGCAGGCTCCTCCGAGTGAGGCTCGATCCCAGGATGCAGGATCATGACCTGAGCCGAGGGCAGACACTCAGCAGGCCGCGCTAACCTGAGGCTCTTTATGGGTGAGCTCCGTGCCTGGCATAGAGCGCAGTGCAGGGTTCGAACTCACCACCGCGAGACCGAGAGCCGAGATCAAGAGTCCGGTGCTCGGCGGGCTGAGCCAGCCAGGCACCCCGGCCCTCCTGGTGGAGCACAGCTAACCAGCCACCCCCCACAGCATTTTCTGGCGCGCCCCTCTTGCTCAGTCACTGTGATTGTTGTCGGTGTCCCCCGGCCAGGAGGGCAGCCCCCCTCTGGCTTCGGTTCACGGCCTGGCGCTCCGAGGTGCTCAGGAGGTGTCTGGCCACAGCGGTGACGTCTTCCAAAGGCTGAGGGTGGCATGGACCATGCCGTGCTCAGGCTAAACCCTGTCCCCGGAAGACACGTCCAGTCTTCACCCCGTACCTGTGAAGCAGGGTCGTGTTCGGAAGCAGACCCGCTGTGGGTGTCGTTAGTGGAGAGGGGGTCACACTAAAATAGGGTAGCCGTGATGCGGTGGCGGGAGTTCCCATAAGGACACATAGGGGAGATGGCCATGTGTCACCGAGGCAGGCCATGTGGCCGCACGCCAAGGGCCGCCTGCAGCCCCAGGAGCTGGGAGAGGCAGGAGGGATCCTCCCCTGGAGCCCCCGGGGCGGCGCGGCCCCGCCACAGCCTGAGCTCAGACTTCTGGGCTCCAGGACCCAGAGAGGCTAAAGTGCTGTGGTTAGAACCTGTGGCTGGTGGCATGAGTCCAAGCTGCCCCCAGGAAGCGCGTTCATGCGGAGTGCCAGAACCTTCCGTGGAGGCGGGTGCTGGCAGTGTTGGGCTCTGTGCGTCCGCGCTTCCCTCCGGCTGCTCTTCTGGATCGCCACAGCCAAGGGGGTTGAACCACACTCACCGGGGCGCCTGGCGGCTCCGTCAGTAAGGCGGCTGCCTTCAGCTCAGGTCATGATCCCGGGGTCCTGGGATCGAGCCCCGCATTGGGCTCCCTGCTCGCTGGGGAGTCTGCTTCCCCCTCTGCCGCTCCCCTTCTGTTTCTCTCAAATAAAATAAAATCTTAGAAAAAACAAAACAAAACACATTTATCATCTCATGTTGTGAAGTCAGGAGTTTTAAAACCCTGGCAGGGGCAGGGCTCGTCCCCCAGGGACCGCAGGGAGACCCGGCTCCCGCCCTTTCCTGGCCCGCGCCCCCCCCCCCCCCCCCCCCCCCCCCGCCCCGGGGGCGCCCGTCCCCCGGGCCCCCCCCCCCCGCCCCCCCCTCGTGAGGACTGGTGAGGACGCCGGGCGCCCCAGGAACCCAGGGTCACCCCCAGCTCGCGGTCCTGACGAGGTCCCCTGTGCTGCGGGAGGGGACACGTCTGCAGGTTGACAGGGATGGGGACGTGTTTGGGGCCGTCACTGAGGCCCCCCGCCTGGTATTGTTCCTTGGTGTTTTGTGTCCCTGCAGAAAAGGAGAACAACTTCCCACCGCTGCCCGGGTTTATCCCCCTGAAGCCCTGTTTCTACCAGAACTTCTCGGACGAGATCCCCATCGAGCACCAGCTCCTGGTGAAGAGGATCTACCGGCTGTGGCTGTGTGAGCGGCGGGGCGGGGCGGGGGCGGGGCCTCCCTGCGCCCCTCAGACCCGGCCCCGGGACAGCCCCACCATGAAGTTAGTCCCATCCTCAGACGCGGGAGCCCGGATTTTGGGCTGAACCTTGCGTTTCTGACAGTGATGTGTTCTGAGCCCTCGTCTGGCTCTGTGACGCCCGTGCTGACCAGAGCCCGGCCCCGCTTTCCCAGGGGGAGGGAGGCGTCCAGGCCCGCTGCCCTGGAGCCCACTCACCCTCGGCGCCCCCCCCAGTCTACTGTGCCACGCTGGCCGTGAACCTCGTCGCCTGCCTGGCCTGGTGGATCGCAGGCGGCTCTGGAGCCAACTTCGGCCTGGCCTTGCTGTGGCTGCTGCTCTTCTCTCCCTGCGGCTACGTGTGCTGGTTCCGGCCGGCCTACAAGGCCTTCCGGTGAGTGTGGCGGCGAGGCCGCGCAGGGGCCGGCCAGACTCCCGACCCTGTGTGCTCGGGGCCTGTGCCCTGGCGGCGCCTGTCCTCAGACGTCCGTGTCCAGGACTGTCCGGTGGGGTCGGGGGACAGCTTCTGTCCAGGGTGGCAGTCTAGACTCCGGCAAGGGTGGTCTGGTTGTCCTGTAGGGATTGAATTGAGAGACTGTTCCCGTAGCCGCCCACCCGCTCGTGTCAGCATTTCTGGTGTCTTTAGAAGGTTGTGGAACCATCACTCTGTATAGTTCCAGAACATTCCATCAGCCCCCAGGCAGCCCTGTCCCATCAGCCATCACCCCTAGCCCCGACCCCTGCGAGCCCCCTCCCCATCCATGGAGGGGCCTGGTCTGGGCGTGTCACACCCTGTGGGGCCTTCTGTGTCTGGTTCCCTCCCTGAGCGTTGTAGGCTCGGGGTCGTCCCCGGGGCAGCGCGTGGCGGTGCCTCGATCCTGCCAGGGCCCGAGGGACACTCCTGTGTGCGGGGGATGACTGGGTGTTGGCAGGCAGCTCTAGGCTTCTGTGGACCTTCGCCCCAGCAGGCCCCCTGTTCCTCAGGACCTGCCGTGTTTGCCCCGTGATGGTTCCCGAATCCCGGGCTCAGAGACTCTGCCAGCTCCCTGAGGGCTTCTGGGGTGGGGGTAAGAACTAGAAACCCACCCGGCTGCCGAAGCTGGAAGGAGCCGTCCTTCCGGGTTCCGGGCCAGCTCAGGCGGCCTCGCTCAGCAATGCTTGCAGCATGCTCCTCCCACAGCCCTCGGGGTCCCGCAGGCCCCGTCCTCCTTCAGTGACCTGGAGGTCGCCTGTGCCACAGCCCTGTTGGCAACCGTGTGCGTCTTCCGCAGAGCTTACGGGGCACCGTAAATCTGTGACACGCTTCCTCCCCGGGTCAGTCTTCAGCGACCTCGTGAGCGTCGTTGCTCACCCTGAAACCCCTCGCATCCCTCCGCAGCTGGGACTCTGTATGGGGACAGCAGTTTTTTCCGGAGAGGCCGGTGTGGCCCGTGGAGTCCCCGCCCGGGGCACCGTGCGATGGCGCGCTGGGGCCGGCACCTCCTCGTGGGTCCCGCCGTGCGCGCGGCCTGCGGTGACAGCTGTGCTCTCTCCGCAGTGCCGACAGCTCCTTCAACTTCATGGCCTTCTTCTTCGTCTTCGGAGCCCAGTTTGTCCTGACCGTCCTCCAGGCCATCGGCTTTGCGGGATGGGGCGCATGGTGAGCCGGGCGCCGGGGCTGCTGCGCGGGTGTGACACACGTTCCCCGTGGGGCGGGTGGGGCTCCAGCCTCCCAGGGTGTGAGAGACGCGTGTGAGCCCTCCGGCGGCCCCGGAGGACTGGGGCTGGGGTCTGCTGCCCATGCCCACCCAGGGCCTGCCCCTGAGGGTCCTGCCTGGGACGCACTCCCAGCTCCTCCCGGAGGCTGATAGGTGTGTCCCCGGGGGTGTGTCTGGGAGGAGCGGCTCTGCAGACAGCAAGAGGGCCCCCCAGGACGGCTGCCTGTGACCATGCTCTCGGGAGAGAGCTAGGCTTTTTGTCTTTTAAGGTTTATACCCAGGTCTGCGGCTGCCGTCGCAAGTTAGGACAAACTTAGCGACTTAAACAGACTCATTTCACAATTCTGGGGTCAGGAGTCTGATGTGGGCCTCATGAGGCCAAAACCCCGGTGCTGGCAGGGCTGGTGCCCCTGGAACCCCAGGGAGACCCGGCTCCTGCCCTTTCCTGGCCTGTGGCCCCCCTCTATCCTCCCTCCCAGCAGCGCCAGGTCTCTGGGACCCCCGCACTCTGCCTCCCTCTCGTGAGGACCTGGTGAGGACGCTGGGCTCCCCGGGAACCCAGGGTCACCCCCACCTCCGGGCCCTGACAAGGTCTCCTCTGCTCTGGGAAGGGACACATCCAAGCTCCCAGGACGAGAATGTGGGTGCCTGTGGGGCTGCTGGCTGGTCGCAGGTCGTGTCTTTGGCGTGGAGTGTCCCATGGGCTGCTCGAGGCTGCTCGTGACTGCTCGGCCTTGGTGGTGGTCTGGAAGCCTGTCTCTGCTCAGGTGCGCCCTGTTGGCCTCTCGGTTGGCATCCCTTGGGGTGTCCGTGGCCTCCCGAGCCTGCCCCTCCAGCGCCTTCCTGGTGTCCGTCCCCTCCTGTGTCTTCTGTTCCCCGTTACAAAGTCCGTGAGTCACCTTCTGCTCTCACCTGGGATTGTTTCCCGAAGAGCCTCCCTGGGGCTTCCTGGTGTTGCTGCTTTCCTGCCTGCTGAGCAGATGAGCTCAGCGTGGACCCTTGGTATCCGGTTCCTTCCTGGCTGATGTCCTCCCAGTTCTGGGTCTGGAGGACCGGTGAAGGGCTGTCCTAGGGGTCCCAAGTGCAGGGATGTGCCAGGAGGACCCCAGGGCCCAGCAGACGGTTTTCCTATGGCTGTGGTTTATACAGACAGAGGACAGGAACCAAAGTGAGCTCAGGGCAGGGGTGTGGGGGGCAGGGACACCAGGCGGGAGCTTCCAGAGCCTTCTCCCGAGGTATCCCACAGGACACGCTTAGGTCCCCCCAAACGAGACAGCACCGTGCGTGTGAGGTGTGGTCTCCGGGGGCTGGCAGACAGGTCTCGCGGGCCTGTCTGCCCGGCTCGGGGAGGGGAGCAGGTGCTCAGCCCGAGCCTCGCGTCCACATGGACGGTTCAGGGACCCGAGCCCCCCAGCAGCGAGGATGGCCGGAGCCCGCAGTCCGGTTCCAGACGCCGCGGAGGGCCAGCCTCACGAGCCGGCCAGTGGGGAGGGAGGGCTCCGGCCCTCTGTGCTAGCTCTTTTCTGTCCAGTGTCACCGCATCCTGGTTTCCACATCTTCCCCAGGGGCTGGCTTGTAGAAAGAGGACGTTAGTCTCCTTTCCTGTTGGAATGCAGGCCAGACAGGGCAGGGGACAGGTGACCAACCAGCTGGGGAGCCGGGGCAGAGAGCCGCTCTGAAGCGTTTCCTCTCCTGAAGATCCGGGAGAAGGAGGGGGACATAGTACCCGCCGTGCAGCTCCAGGCCCGCCCGCTCTCACAGACGGCTGTCGTCGCTCCCATTCTGTTGCTGGGCACTGGGCCTGCGCAGGTGGTGGGGGGCTCCTCCTGGCTCTGCCTTCTTGGAACGTTCGTTGGGGTGGCTGGGATCCCACGGAGCTCCTTGGCCTCCCTGGGGCTTGGTGCAGGGAATGGGGACCTCGAGGTGCTGGTCTGCCAACCCATGTTCCCTTTGGAAGCCTAGGCCAGGGGGACTGCGCCCCCCTGGCCCCTGGTGTCCCACTGCCAGGGGACGGGTATCTGCGGCTGCAACTGTGGCTGTCCCTGGTGGGATGGGACACACAGTGACCAGCTGTGCGGTTTTCCCCTGGGGGGTTTTCCTCGGGGCGCCCCTGCTCACCCAGCGTCCCAAGGGTCTGTCGCTCCCACATGGGGCATTTCTGCGAACGCCTCCCTGGGGGCCCCAAGAGGAAAAGGACTCTGAGACACACACGAGTGTCCTTCGTTCGTATGTGTCCGTACGAGACCCCAGTGCTGCTTCACGTCTGGGAAACCGGCCTCGACTCCTCCGCGCCCTCTTCTGGCTTACGTTCTTGCTCCTTTACTCGGCGTTTTCGGGGTGCCTGGCTGGCTTGCTGGGGGGAGCTTGCGACACTAAACCTCACCTTGTGGGTTCCAGCCCCGTGTGGCGTGTGGAGCCCACTTTCAAACTCAAGGAATTTTATAGAAAGCTCTTTAAATTACAATTTCTTTCTTTCTAAGCGCTCTCTTTGGCGAGGGGGTTTGCGATCGCTCTCCTGACACACAGCCTGGGGAGGACCCCTCAGGGGCCGCAGCTGCACGTGCTCAGCTGTCACCTGGCCGAGGTCAGGAAAGGCGGGACCATCCCCGTGGAGGGGCAGAGGAAGCTGAAAGAGGCTAATCATGTGCTCTGCATCCCGTTTCCTTCTCGTCCCTGGCGTGTGCTCCAGGCCTGGGCGCCACTGTAGGGTTCGGACAGGGTCCACCCTTGGACTGGGCCCCGTGCCTGCCCCCAGCCCCTCAGACTGCTCCCGGAGCCCCCCCGGGTTGGACCACGGAGGAAGGGGCAGAGAGTGGGAGGCTCTGGGGCCTGGGCTGAGCCCTGAGGCGAACTGGGGGAGGGGACCGACCTGTCCCCACAGCAGGGAGATGGTGGGAGGGAGCCCGGGGGCTGCCTTCCCGAAGACCGGGAGCAGCCGAGCCCACCAGGCGCCCCCAGTAGCGTTTCCGTGTTGGGCCACTTTGGGGTTTCCGGGGAGGCGCAGAGAAGGATGGAGCGCCCGGCCGTCGTGCCCGTGGGCCTCGGACAGGCCTTTGCCGCTACTGGAGGCCCGCACGGGTACAGCGCTGCCGTCCGCTGGGCCGTCATCGGCAGCCCCACGTGGCCACGGGTGTCCTTCTGTTCAGGATCCCACGTGGCATTTAACTACATCCGGTTCGGCCGCGTGTGCCCGTGGGGTGTGCGCGCTTCCGTGGGCCGGCCCTCCCCCAGGCTCTGCCCCGCGCCTGCCCTTCTTTCCAGCTCATTTGTGGGAACGGAGGCTTCCTTGCCCTGCGCTTCCCCTGAGTTTGGTTTGCTGTTTTGTTTTTTCATTTTTATAGTATTCATCTCAATTTTTTAAATTTTCTAAATTTTTAAATTTCTTATTAACATATAACATGTTATTTGCTTTAGGGGCACAGGTCTGTGAATTGGCAGGCTCACACACATTGCATCACTCACCATAGCACATACCCTCCCCACTGTCCATAACCCCACCACCCTCTCCCTACCCACCTCCTCCTGGTAACCCTCAGTTTGTTTTGTGAGATTAAGGGTCTCTTACGAGGGGTGCCTGCGTGGCTCAGTGGGTTAAGCCTCTGCCTTCGGCTCAGGTCATGATCCCAGGGTCCTGGGATCAAGCCCTGATTTGGGCTCCCTGCTCGGTGGAGAGCCTGCTTCCCCCTCTCTCTCTGCCTGCCTTTCTGCCTGCTTGTGATCTCTCTCTCTGTCCAATAAATAAATAAAATTAAAAAAAAAAAAGTCTCTTATGGTTTCTCTTCCAATCCCATCTTGTTTCATTTTTTTCCTTCCCTGCACCCCAAATCCCCCACATTCCCTCTCACCTTTCTCACATCAGCGAGATTGTATGATAATCGTTTTTCTCCGATTGACCTATTTTGCTCAGCATAATACACTCTACTTCCGTGCAGGTAATTGCAAATGGCAAGATTTCATTTCTTTTGATGGCTGCATAGTATTCCATTGTGTGTATATACATCACATCTTCTTTATCCATTCTTCTGCTGATGGACATCTAGGTTCTTTCCATAGTTTGGCTCTCGTGGACTTTGCTGCTATAAACATTCGGGTACATGTGCCCTTTCAGATCACTATATTTGTATCTTTAGGGTAAATACCCAGTAGTGCGAGTGCTGGGTCATAGGGTAGCTCTATTTTTCAACTTTTTGAGGAACCTCCATGCTGTCTTCCAGAGTGGCCGCACCAGCTTGCATTCCCACCAACAGTGTAGGGGGTTCCCCTTTCTCCACATCCTTGCCAACATCTGTTGTTTCTCGACTTGTTAATTTTAGCCATTCTGACTGGTGTGAGGTGGGATCTCTTTTTTTTTTTTTTTTAAGATTTTATTTATTTATTTGACAGAGATCACAAGCAGGCAGATCACAGGCAGAGAGAGGGGGGGAAGCAGGCTCCCCGCTGAGCAGGGAGCCCAACGCGGGGCTCAATCCCAGGACCCTGGGATCATGATCTGAGCCGAAGGCAGAGGCTTTAACCCACTGAGCCCCCCAGGCGCCCCTTCACTGTGGTTTTGATCTGTATTTCCCTGATTCCGAGTGACGTGAAGCACTTTTTCATGTGTCTGTCGGCCATCTGGATGTCTTTGCAGAAATGTCTGTTCATGTCTTCTGCCCGTTTCTTGATTGGATTCTTTGTTCTCTGGGTGTTGAGTTTTCTAAGCTCTTTATAGATTTTGGATACTCGCCCTTTACCTGATATGTCGTTTGCGAGTATCTTCTCCCGTGTTCAGTTGTCTTTTGGTTTCGTTGACTGTTTCCTTCACTGTGCAAAAGCTCTTGATCTCGATGAAGTCCCAGTAGTTCCTTTTTGCCCTTGCTTCCCTGGCCTTTGGCGACGTTCCTAGGAAGAAGTTGCTGCGGCTGAGGTCGAAGAGGTTGCTGCCTGTGTTCTCAAGGATTGGGATGGTTTCCTGTCTCACGTCGAGGTCTGTCATCCATTCGGAGTCTTTTTTCGTGTGTGGAGTAAGGACATGGTCTGGTTTCGTTCTTCCTCATGTGGCTGTCCGATCCGCAGTTTGGTTTTTAGAATAACGGCTGTAGTGAGCCCCCCGTCACAGGCCAGAAATTCACTCTCACGGTGGACAGCTTGGTGGCTTTCGTGCACCCTCAAGAGTGTGCACCCGTCAATTTTTGTTTAGTTGAGGAAGGTTTCATCTCCCCACGGCAGCCCAGTCCCCGTCAGCCGTCACCCCCTCCCCAGCCCCCGGCCCCCACGAGCCCCCTTCCCGTCTGTGGAGGAGCCTGGTCTGGGCGTGTTGCACGCGTGGACTCACACCCCGTGCGGCCTCCTGTGTCTGGTTCCCTCCCTGCGTGTTGTGGGCTCGGGGTCGGTCCCTGGGGCAGCATGTGGAGGCCTCGGTCCTGCTGGTGGCCGGGGACGCTGCTGCGCATGGGGGCATGCCGTGTGCTTCCGTCCGTGCCGACTGGTGTCGGGGGGTGCTCTCTGCGAGCTGCCCTTGTTGGCGCAGCAGTGACACGTGTCTCCATGTCTCGCGTGTGCGCCGGTTGCGGGAATGCACTTCTGGGGGGTTGCCAGACTCCCCAGGTCTCGTGTCTCTGCTCCATCTCTCACACCATGTTCTCCCCTCCCTGGTTCCAGCCCCGCAGGAGCCCCCGGCGCCTCTCGTCCCCTCCCTGAGCCCTGCCCTCCAGCTCCACTCCTCCCTGCATGCTCCCTGCTCCCACCGTGGACGCCCTGGCCTCTTCCTGACCCGGACGGCTCGTGGCAGGCTCTGTCGTTCATCGAGTTGTAGCTGATGGAGGCCAGTGTGTCCCCCGCCGTGCCTGGAGCCTGAGTGGTCACCTGTATATGAGATGTTTCTCTGTCCTGGTCCTGCAGGGAGGCTGGGGCCATGGAGCGGGTCCCCTGGCCTGCATTCCTGCCTGCGCGTGCCTTCACCTCCCCCAGAGACCGCAGACCTCAGGCTGGGACCCTGCCCGCCTGGCCCCTCTTTCCAGGCCGCAGACCTGCTGGGAGGACACTAGTCCCAAGGGTGACTGTCCCCCACTGCCGCGCCAGCATTTCTTCCCCTACCAGGAGCCTCCGACCACCCATCACCCGCCTGGACTGTCCAGCCGCCTGGCTCGGCCTCACACTGCGTCTCCTGCCCAGCCGAGGCGCCCTCCCCAGTGGCTTTCCCAGCCTCCTACTGAGTGGGAACGGGTGGCAGGTCTGTCCCCAGTGCCCAGCACGGAGTGAGCCTGCAGCTTGGGCTCCTCGGCCGCCCCCGTGTCACGTACTTGGGTGGGGAGGACCCGTGGCTTCCCTTTTGCTCAGAGCATGACGCGGTCTTCGGAGCATGCTTCCAAGACAGCCACGTGTGTTACTGCGCCAGCGCTCACCCTGCTGCCCGAGGCGCGAGGACACTCGCCGACAAGCACGGGCAGCCTCGGGAGACGCGGGGCTCGGCCTCGTGCACGGGGCACGGCGGGGCTCGCGTCGGGGTGGTGGGACGCAGCCTTCTGCTTCTTGGGGGCGCTGCCTCAGGGCTGTAGGTGGCAGGCGCGTGTGACCCTGGGGGCCTGTCTTCTAAGTCTCTGAAGCGCAAGTTATTTCCTGCCTCTCGGCCCAAGAGGCGGGTGCGGATGTGTGTCCATGCGTGCTCAGGACAGAACATGGCTCACGCGGTCCTGCTATACCGAGCGCTCTTTAACTCTTCTCCCCTCCTGCTTCCTGGACACGCCTCAGCATGCCGTCGTGAGGCTGTGGCACACCAGGCGTCTGTGTCCTTTCCAGCTGGTGAACGTTTAGGGCCCCCCGGCTTTTCATGGTGACTCGTGATTCTGTAGTGTAAATTCTTAGGAGCAGGAGAGCTGGGTGCAGCCATGAGCACGTAGAGTTTATTTTGGATGACTGCCGCTGCCCCTGCAGAGGGGCACGCTCCCTCCAGGACAGGGCTCCTCTCCGCAGCCCCTTGCACATGCCACACTTGCCCGTGTGGCAGGGGAACGCAGCAACCCCGTTCTAGCGTGTGTTCCTCGTTGCTGGGTTTGAGCGTCTTTTTGTGTGTTCATTGGCCGCTTCAAGTCCCCATACCAATCACCCATTTCCCTGTTAGTCGTTTATTTTTGTTGTTGTTGATTTGTTGGTGATCTTTACATATGGAGGATACTGGGCCCCTTGTTTGGCGGATGTGCTGGCGCCCACGCTCGCTCTCCTTGGCCCCTTGCAGTGGTTGGCTGGCGGCAGTCGGGTTCTTCCAGACCAGTGTCGGGGCTGCTGTGGTCATGCTGCTCCCAGCCGTCATGTTCTCCATGTCAGCTGCCATGATGGCCATTGCGATCATAAAGGTAAGTCCTCTGGGTTCGGAGACTTCTAGCATCTTCCCATGCATGCTATCGCCCTAGCCCCCGAGCCCCGGGAGCTCGTCTCATCCCTGTTTAAGGAGCGAGACATTGAGTGTCTGGGAACGAGCTGACCGCTACTCGAGCAGGCTTGGGGAAACAGCATAGTGTAGGCCGCCGATGGCCGCATCTGCCTTCAGGGACACCATCTGCCAGAGCCCCCAGCACATGTGTGGCCCGGGGTGTGCTCCACGCTGCCCGATTTGGCTGCGGCTGGATGCTGGCCGCCAAGTACAGTTAAATTGAGATTAAATAAAAGTAAAAATTGGCGGGCACCTACCACACCCACCTCATCTCGGGTACTTGCCGGCTGCGTGGGGCTGGTGGGCCGTTTTCACCGCCACGGAAAGTTCCCGTGGGCCGGACGGCTCCGGGCGCTCGGAGACTGCAGCAGAATGCTTACAGCGCAGCCTCGTGGAAGCTGGCAGGCACGTGGCCTGAGCCCTCAGGTGTTGGTCAGAAGCCGGAGCCCAGGGCCGTGCGTGGAACCCCTGTGGAAAAGCGAAGGGCGGCGGGCGGTGCTCCGGCCCCAGCACGAGGTGTGTGGTGGGCGTGGTCGGAGTCTCTCTGGCCTTTGTGCTGTGAGGTCCTGGCTGGTAAAGAGCATCGCCCGGCTTCCGGAGGCTTCCCCCCTGCACCTTTCTGTCTGGGAACGAACAAAAGAGCATTGTGTACACCCCGTGTACACCCCAAATGCTTTCAGCTGTGTGGACAGTCAGGGGGCATGGAGGGACCTGTGGGACCCACGAGTGTGCACGCAGACGCACAGCAAGTTACCCTGAACGTGGTTTCGGGATCGAGTCTGCACAGAGCGATGTTTCCAACCAGGGACTTGCGCGCAACTGCAAACATCCGAAATTAGAAAGTAGATAGTAACTGGGGATGCCTATGGGGTGAGAAAAGAAAGATTTATGGACTCAAATAGAGTGTGTTCTTCCTAAACAAGGTCACCATGCCTGTGTCCATCCCCAGGCCCAGGTGCAGGGGTGTGCCGGGAGGACCCCAGGGCCCAGCACACAGTCATCCCCAGGGCTGTGGTTTATATAGACAGAGGACAGGAAGCAAAATGAGGTCAGGCCAGGGGTGTGGGGGGCGGGGACACTAGGCGGGAGCTTCCAGAGCCCTCTCCTGGGGTGTCCCATAGAACACGCTTAGTTTCCCCGAAACGAGACAGCACCGTGCGTGTGAGGTATGGTCTCCGGGGGCTGGCAGAGACCGAGCTCCCTGGTTCTCCACGGGGTCAGTCTCACAGGCCCATCTGCCCGGCTCGGGCCAGGAACCCTGACTCGGGGAGGGGAGCAGGTGCTCAGCCTGAGCCGCGTGTCCGCATGGACAGTTCAGGGACCCGAGCATCCCAGCAGCGAGGCTGGCCGGAGCCCGCAGTCCGGTTCCAGACGCCGCGGAGGGCCAGCCTCGCGAGCCAGCCGGTGGGGAGGGAGGGCTCCGGCCCTCCGTGCGAGCTATCTGTCCCCGCACTCCCACTGAGAGGGCAGAGAGGGATATTTAAGAGTCACGGAGCCGCAGAAAGATCCCCGAGAGCGACGGGGTCCGCTTCACCGATCAGCAAAGCATCCAGTTGAAATGCCAGTTTTCACCTGCTGAGTTTTCCAGAATTTCTAGAGCTTCCAGCACTGGCCCACGTTCCTTGTGCTGTCGTGGGGAGTCAGTCCTTCCTGGCGCTCTCTGCCTAGCAGACCGTGGGCCACAGACAGGGCGTGGGGTGCAGGGTGCCAGTGTCAGGCGGCCCGAGAGCCCGGCCCCAGAGCAGGGCAGGAGAACAGTGCTGGCGGCCACACACGGCAGCAGCGGGGGGACTGTGGTGGTGGATCAGGCCGGCGCCCTCCAAGGCCGCCGTGTCGGCTCCAGCGTTTTCTGACGCGTGCGCGGAGCTGTTTCTGTGGCTTCTGTGATTCCTGCGAGACGTCCTGCCGCGAACACAAGCGGGACTTGTCGCCTGCCATAGGCTCAGTTTGGATTCTCTCCTCTCTGCTTCCCCGTCCTCTGGCCTGCAGGTGCACAGGATCTACCGGGGGGCTGGCGGAAGCTTCCAGAAGGCGCAGACTGAGTGGAACACAGGCGTGTGGCGGAACCCACCGTCTCGGGAGGCTCAGTACAACAACTTCTCGGGGAACAGCCTGCCTGAGTATCCCACTGTGCCCAGCTACCCGGCGGCCGGCAGCCAGTGGCCTTAGAGGGGCTGGCTGGCCCCGCTGCCCAGCCGCCCCCACTGCCCTCTCCCCTCCCCGGCCAGAGACCCACACGTGCGTTCCTCCCACCTCTGGGAGCAGCCGTCCTTGCAAGCGGTGTCCAGAAGCTGCCCGGCCTCTGCTGCCTGGCAGGAGGATGCTCTCTCCCGCGGAGGTCTCCGCACCCACTGCAGGCCTCCCCGAGGAGGAGGGGCAGCGGGCCAGCCGCCTGCCTTCTGGAGCTGATGGTGCGGAGCGGGACTCGGCCGGGGCGTCCCCTCGGCCCTTCTTGTCCCCTTGTTCCTGTCCCTGCGGGCGATGCTTGGCCGGGTCCTCCGTGCTCTTGTCTTCTGTGTCCCTGTCCACCTGCAGCCAGAGAGCTCTTGTGGACAATCCTGTGGAGTCAGCCAGAGGCCGATGAGCCGCCTGGGCACCATGGTCTGAGCCCCCATCCATCTGTCCGTCTGCCCCTCGGGCTCTGTGCAGGGCCGTTGGCAGGCCTGCCCGCAGTGGCTCTCTTCCTGGGAACGCGGAGCAGACGTCTGTTGAGATCCCGGAACCTGGGGCGGAACCCCTCTGGGGGAGGATGGGGGCGACTGCCTGGACCGGCTGCCTGGAGCCTGCGGCCACGCAGCCCCCTCCCGAGCTGCAGGAGCAGGAGACGGAATTTCTCGGGAGCTTGGCCTTTTAGAAGGAAAGAAGTTGTGCGAAACCTGTGCCTTAGTGAGGAATCTCAACGAAACGTCACTTTTCTCCCCTCTGACCCTGTATCTCCTGAGACAAAGGACCAGAGCACTCCGCGGGCATCTGGGCAGCGCCCTTGCGCGCGGACAGGCCAGACAGGCCCTCGTAGCCCCCTGGCCTTTTCTGGCCAGGCTCCCCAGGCACCCCGAGTGCTGCCCCTTGGCCCCTGGCTGGCTGCCCTGGGGTAGGACTGGGGCCCTCTGCATCCACACTGCGGCGCCGGACGCCGGCCCCCCAGCAGCCCCGGCCAGACAGGCTCGTTCTGTGCTCTCCACACCCACGCCTGCTTGCTTCAGCTCCTTGTGCCAAGCGCCATGTGGTGTCCAAAGGCAGCCGTGGTTCCTGCAAATGCGCCTGGGCCTGGGTGCCCTTGGGTCTCAAGCCATGGGTATCCCCCAAACGTCCCCAAGCCAGCCTCTGCGACAGGCACACACTGCACTCACTGTGGGGCGGGGTAGCCTGTGGAGCAGGTGTGGCCCACGGTAGGAGCCCCGCACGCAGGCACCTTTGTTACTCCATAACGGGTATCCTGGTAATAAATCCCGTAGTCCTTCCTGCATCACGGAGCCTCTGCAGGGCTGTTAGGGGTACACGGCCGGCTTCCCTAGCCACCCCATGCCGCCCCTGCCTGTGGACCCTGCCCCACACAGCGCCACCTCAGCTGTCCGCGAGCCACCACGGTGCGTTTCCTTTGTGCTTTTCGTTTCAATCAACTTGCTGTTTTTATGCCCCGCTCTTTTAACTTGAAAAGGGAATTGTGCAGAAAATGAGAAACCAGCCTCACTCACTTTGAAGGGAAGGTAATGGTAGACGTGGCAGGAAGAGGAACGGGAGAGCCTCCCGGGGCTCCTGGCGTGGACACCCCGCATGGACACGGGAGGGAGGGCGGGAGTCCTTCTCCACGGGACACTTTGCTAGCACAGGAAGGAGACCAGATCCACAGAGAACCCCACCGAGCCCCAAGCAGATGGCCTGGGCTGTCTTGTTCCCCCCTCCCCACAGATTTACGTGTTGATGTCCTAGTGCCCAGCAGCTCAAAACGGGAAATTATCTGGAAATGGGGTGGTCGCAGGAGTACTTAGTTAAGGTGAGGTCACCCCGAAGTCAGGTGGGCCCTAAAATAATGTAGGAGAGAAACCCTGTGAAGATGGGGCTGAGATGGGGGTGATGCTTCTACGGGCCAAGGCATGCCAAGGTGAGCTGTGACCCCCTTACCCCCTGCCCCACCCCGTGAAGCTTGGGTGCCTGGGACAGGTTCTCCCCCAGCGGGAACCACCCCTGCGATTCTCCTGGGGCCATGCCCTCCCGAGCTGCGAGGCTGCCCGGGGAAGGCGCCCAGCAGATGCTAGAGCAATGAAACGGGGAGCCGGGGCTTGCTGTGCCGTGGGGATGCACCTGTCGACGGGTGGGACCCGGAGTGCATGGGTGGACAGAGAGCAGGTTGCCCTGGGCTGGGTGGGGAGACCGAACTGACAACAGCAGGAAGAGGGGGGAATGTGTGCGCCCTCGGCTCCCGGGGGACCTGGAAGGACGCAGCTTGGGGCTGCAGTTGAGAGACTGGGACCTGTTGTATGGGGGACCGTGTCACAGAGCCACAGGCAGGGCTTAAACCGCGGGTGTCTCCCCTCACCTTCCAGAGGGTAGAGCCCGGGATCCGCAGTGGGATGATGCTGGTGTCACGAGGACCACGGACCCTGGGGCTCAGTGCTCCCGTGTCCGGGGGGCCTGGCTTGCAAGAGGACGGTGTCCATGGGGTGGTGTCCCCGCGGTAAGCTCCAAGGAAGGGCCCTCCCTGCCTGTCCTAGCCGAATCCTAACACTAGGTTAGCATTCAAGAAAAAATTTGAAAACGTTTCTTAATGTCGTCTAAAAATGTTCATTATACTTCAACATTAAAAAATAACGTTTTTTTAGAGAAAGGGATGAGTGGTGTTCTTGTCATTTTTACGGAGAGGGCAGCTGGGTTCTCTGTAGTGACCTATTTGGGCCCACCGTGAAGAGTGGGGACAAAAGGTTTGTCAGGGAGACGAGAGCGAGGGGGTCAGTGGGGAGGCAAGCATCAGTGGGCAGGTCACGGCCGTGGACAGTTGGGGCTCAGTCCCCCGGGACCCTCGGGAAGGCACAGACCGGTCCCCGGCTGTCCGTCCGTGTCTGGGGGTCGGAGGGCCTGGGCTCTGCCCTCTGGTGGAGCGAGGTGGGTGCTGCGCTGTGTGCGCGCGTCTGCATTTTCTGACGAGGTGAACTGGGTTCTGTTCCTATGTTGAAGTCCTAGCCCCCGGGACCCCAGGAGGTGACCTTTAGAAGCGGTCACCGAAGGAGTACTTTTCCAAGGTAAGGTGAGGCCATAAGGCATAGAGTGGTTCCAATCCAGTATGACAATAAGAAGGGGACATGTGGGCCCAGACAGGCAGGGGGAAGCCCCGAGAAGTTGGGGGGACCTGGGACAGGTTCTCCCCCAGCAAGAGCTTGTGACCCCTTGTCTCCGACAGACGCGAAGGGCTGGGATCTCCACATACCTTTGTGGGAACCACCGTTCAATCCCTAACAGTGGCCAGTCTGGGTCCACGTCTGCGGGGGTTTCCTGGGACTGCCACGTTCAAGTATCGCAGACTGTGTGGCCCGAAACAATTCATCCTAAATTCTGGAGCCCAGAGCCTGAAATCAAGGTGTCGCTGGGTCCATGCTCCGTCCGAGGGCTCCAGGGGAGGGTCCTTCCTGCCTATCCCAGCTCCTGGGGCTCCAGGAGTCCCTCGGTCTGTAGCTGATCCCTCCAGTGTCCACTCTTTGCTCTCTTCCATTTTTTAAAAAAAGGATTTTATTTGATGGACAGAGACCACAAGTAGGCAGAGAGGCAGGGGTGGGCTGGGGAGGGGAAGTAGGCTCCCCACCCCCCACCCCAGCAGAGAGCCCAGCGGGCTGATCCCAGAACGCTGGGATCACCACCCGAGCCGAAGGCAGAGTTTTAACCCACTGAGCTACCCAGGCGCCCCTCTCTTCCATTTTTTAAAAAAATATTTAGAGAATGTATGAATGGGGAAGGGGTGGACGGTGAGCATCTCCGGCACACTCTGTGCTGAGTGCGGAGCCCCATGCTGTGCTCGATCCTACGACTCCGACTCCGAGATCATGACCTGAGCCCCCTCTGAGTCACATACTTCACCAAGCGAGCCACCCAGGCGTCTTGTAAGGACACCAGCCATTGACATAGAGCCCACCCTCATGCAGCGTGACCTCCTCTGAATTCATCACCACCGCAAAAACCCTATTTCCAAATAGGGTCCCATCTTGAGGTTCCAGGTGGATGTGAATTTTGGGGTGACACTGCTCAATTCTCTACCTCACCCAGGCCTTGGCCCCTAGCAGTGCAGGAGCTCCTCAGCTGGGATCTTTGGTGGCCGTGGCACATTGCACGTCCCCTGCTCTGGTTTGCGCTGGGAGGGTCCCGGGAGGCCTGGGCACCCTGGCGCGTGCTCACCCCAGCGTGTCTCAGCACTGCGGGAGGCAGACACACATGGGCAGGAGACCACCGTCTGGGTCCCATGGACACAGGCAGAAAGGGACCCCTTCTCCTCGGGAACCCAAGAGGAGCAGCAGATGGGCTTGCTCTGGGCCAATCAGAAGCGGCTTGGGGCCACATGGTACAGCCCTGGTGGCTGGGGTCTGTTCTCAGAGGACGGGGGCCCGCTGGGTGGGGGGTCCCACCCAGAAGCTTCTGTTGGGTGTCTGCTCACAGGCTGCCTCTCACACGTCTTCTGGCCTTGGGATCCCCCCGGAGCTCACAGCATCCCAAGAGAGCACTATGACTCGCCCCAGCTGGGGTTGCAGAGGGACCGCAAGCAAGTCACCTCCCCTTTGTAAACCTGTGTCCGCTTCTGGAAAATGCGAATGTGCCCCACGGCAGGGGCAGGGCCTGGCTGCAGGGAGCGGGAACCCAACTCAGATCCACAAAAGTGAGCCGGGCGCCCGCTTGCACCTGTGGGCTGGCTTTGGCCCCCTGGAGGCAGCTCCGCTTCTGTCCTGGGGTCTCTCAGGGAGCCAGGCCTGCCTCCTCCAGGGGTCAGGGAACACAAGGGGTCGCTGCCCGCCAGTCTCCTCCCTGAAATCCGCAGCTGTCTGGGACTTACGGGGAGGCTGGGATTTCATCTGGCTTTCTCTGGGGGGTGGGGGGGATGGGCAACGGGAGCGACAGGCTCAACCTCTCCACGAGGTTCTTACTGCCCTGAGAGCTCCGACGGGGCCCCTTCCCACACCAGCTTCCCCCGATGGTGTCCCCAGGATCAAAGCTAAAAGGAGGCAGGCACCTGCGGGCCACCTTCAAAGTGGGTTAGAAAAGAGGAAGCACAAAAGGCCTTTTGCTTTTTCAAAGTCTCCAAGTGGTGAGAGAGACGTTCAGCTGACGGTCCTTTATTCACGAGCTTGTGATCCCACGATGCACCGGGGGGCTATGGAGCGTCCTACCCTGCAGACGTGGAGGGCCAGAGAGGGCCGGCCTCTCACACAGGGACTCACACAGCCTTTTCCTGGCACCGCCCCAGCCTCGGCCTCACTCTCTGTCTTCTTTCAGCCTGGGATGCTGCTTCCCACAGGGGCAAGAATGTGGCTCCCCATCAAGCCCAGATGCCGATAGAGGAGATGCCCCCCGGGGGGCTGAGCACCTGGGAGCGGATTTCCCCTGAGGAGTGAGAGAGGACAGTGGGGCCAGGAGGTCTGATGAGAGAAAACCCCAATTCTCCAGAATCTAGGAGGAGCGTGAAGGTCATCAGTGCCTTCTCCCACTCACCCACTCGCTGCACACAGTGACCAGACACAGACCGAGTGCCCACAGGGCAGACGGCAGCAAGCGAAGCAGGTGTGGTTCCTGGCCTGGCGCAGCTGGAGGACAAGGCGGTTGTTCCCCCTACCCCCCTCCCTCCGCAGAGCAGCTGTCCAGAGCCCTGTTTTGGAGAAGGCGGTCTGCAGGCTCAGGCCGGGCAGGGTCAGACGCCGCCAGCAAGGACAGTACGGCGATGTGTGGCCTGGGCTTCCTGGAGGCGGGGACGTTGCCGTGGGACAGAAGAATGGGACGCAGGGTTGCAAGAGCCCTGGCTCAGGGAGTCCCAGAGGGTACAGGCTGGGCCTCGCGCCGCCGACAAAATCCAAAGGCAGAGAAAGGGGCAGCGGTAAAGCACGGTTTCAGGGGACACTGGGCCGACAGCGGAAGGGCGCTCAGCACGGTCTCCCCAGCGGGGACAGCACTGCCCGGCGTCTCGACGGCCACTGGGGAGGACGGCCCGTGGGTCGTGCAGGGTGCAGTGAGGTCTACGGACGGGCTCCGCAGGGTCTCTGGCCTGAGCTGGCGAGGACTGCGGCGGTTAACCGCGGCGCACGTGCTCGGTCACCACGGCCAGCTCCGCGGGCCCCGCGAGGCCAGCCGCCGCCCCTGCCCCAGCCCTGCAGCGCCGGTCCGCCGTCGACCCCTTCCTCGGCCTCCCGCCTGGCCACCGCAGCCGGACAACAGCCCGAGCACCGACGCCGTCGTCCTCCCGCAGGGCTGAGCTCTGGGTCACTGTGCCCCGCGCGGCCCCCGTAGGCCCCCGAACCCGCCGTGCCCGGTGTTCGCAGCCCTGAGCGCCCGCACGCCCGCGGACTCTCGGGAGGTCAGGGCTCCACCCTGCAGGGGAGCCTGGGTGGGGGGCGGGGGGTGGCCCAAGCCCCGCCCCCCCGGCCCGCCCGCCCGCCTCTCCAAGGGCTCCCGCCAGCCCTGCAAGCCCAGCCCCGCCCCGCCCCGCCCCGCCCCGCCGCCGCCACCACCCGAAGCCCCGCCCCGCGCCACCGCCCGGCCGTGACGTCAGGTGGCGAGACCGTGACGTCACAGAAGCTCGGCGGGCGGGCGGCCACGCGTCGCCATGGCAACGGCGGGCGGGCCCGGGCGAAGGGCGAGAGTCCCGCCCCCCACGGAATGTGGACGCGGCCCAGCTCCTTCCTCGCGCGCGCGCGCGCGCGCCTCACCCGACCCCACCCCGCCTCACCCCGCCCCGCGGGGAGCGCGCCTCCGGAAACCCCCCGCGGGCCACTGCCTGTCCGTCCCCGAGAGGCCGCAAAGCGCGGCGGCCGTCGTGCGGCGGCGCCCGCGGCCGCCAAGCCCCGCCCCGCGCTGAGGCGCCGCGCGCCCGGGCCCGACGGCGGCTGCGCAGTGCGCGCGGGCCCTCCCCCCACGCCGGGGCGTAAGCGCGGGCAGCGGGCGACGCTGCGAGACCGGGGCGAGCCGGGCGCCCGCGCCGCGGGGACGGCCCGCGCCAACATGCGGAGGCCGGTGGTGGCGGCGGTGCGGGAGCGGGAGCGGGGGCCCGAGCGGGCGCTGGAGCCGGAGCCGCAGCGCGAGCGGGGCCCGGAGCGGGGGTCCGCGCCGTGCTGCTGAGGGAGCCCGGGCCGCTGCCCGGCCGGCCGGGGGCCACGGCCACGGCCACGGCGGAGTCCCCGAGGTAAGGACGCGCGCCCTCGCCACTGCCACGGCCAAGCGCCCGGCCGCGGACCCCCGCCCGCCGGCCCCGCACCTGGGGTCCACCCCGCCCACTGACCCCGCATTCCAGCCCCGCTGCCCCGCTCCTCGCGCACTCACCGGACGGCCCCTTCCCCCGACTCGGGTCCTGCGGCCTCGCGCTCCCGCCGACGCCTCCGCGGCGGCGCTCCGGGCCTCCCCGACGCCTGGCTCCCGGCCGCGCTGCCCCCCGCCCCCGTGCAGGCTCGGCGGTCGTCCGGGGGCCCGGCTTGAGACCCCGCCGTCCACTGAGCCGCGCTCCACTTCGCCCCTCGCGGCCCCGGCTGCTCGGGCTCCTTGCCCCCTGCCCGTGTCCCCGCACGTCCCCCCTTAGACCCTGGACCCCTGCCCCGGCCCAGCCGTGCCTGGCTTTGTGGGCTGGAAGGCCCCGAGGGGACAGCGGGGCCGGCGGGGACGGGTCATGCGGCAGGGGGTCTCGTCCGCGGTGACCTGTTGCGGGGCCCTGCTTAGGAGCGGCCGCCTCGGTGTGGCTGTGCCCTCCCCTTTCCGCCCGCGCCCCCGGTTTTGTTTTCCGGAAACACTTTGGATCAGGGAGGGGGTGCGCTGTCTGTGCGCCGGGGGCGGAGGCCGTGCGGATCTCCTCCCTGCCCCCGCCTGCCCCAACTTTCTCAGGGATGCTTTCGGGGGGGGTGTTGCTGGGGCTGTCGTCCTGGGGAGGTCTGGGGGCTCTTGGTCTCTGGGCGGTAGTGTTTGTGGGCCGTTCCTCGGAGGGCTCCAGCATGCCTTCCCGGGCCTTCTGGCCAGTTCTCAGACTCGGGGGCGTCTGCAGGGCGGCCCTCCACTGTGTGGGGCCTCCGTCCTCGCCTGCAGGACATGGCCCGCTCCGCTGGTGTCTCCAGCCCCACAGGCTGCTGCGGCTCGTGGGTGTGAGAGATGAGTGGGAGCACAAAGGCTCCAGTGTAGGGGGTAAGGTCCGCGGGGCCTTGATCCGGTCCCTGGAGGAGGTGGGCCCTTGACAAGACAGACTGGGAGCCAGGCCCGAAGGTTCGAAAGGGGGAAGTTTGCGGTTTTGCCGGTAGTTCGTTCTTTGTTTGCTTGTGTCTCCACCAAATTGTGCCACAAGAAAGGGACCCCTGCAGGCAGATGGGCAGGCTGGTGGGTGGGGATGGGCTGTGGTACCCCCAGGTGTTCTCTTCACCCTCCGGGGGGGGGGTGGTCTGTGGCCTTGCCTCAGAAACAGAAACGGGGAGTGCTTGAGTGCTGGGGGCGCAGCGGTCCTGGGCCTGCTGGGCCAGTGGAGGTGGGACCTGTGTGGTGCGGGTGGGGAGGGAGGTCTGAAAGGAGTGGACTGGACATACCTGGCCCACCCTGGGGGTGGACAGAACCCCAGGGGCTCTGCGGGGGCCGTGGGGCACAGGTCTTTCTGTCTGAAGCCGGTGCTTGGACCTTCTTGCGTAAAGGGGCTTCGTGTCTGATGTGGACGACTTCTCATTTCTCGATGGACTGGGGATGAGTGGCTTGTTACGTGGCTCTGGGTGTGTCCCTGCTCTGTGATGACAGACCCCGTGAAGACAGGCTTCTTTGAACTGCTGGTTCTGGTTCCAGCTGATTTTTCTCCTCCTTTTAATTACATAGTAATTACCTCTGGGTTGCGAGAGGAAGTAGGTGAGTTTTTTTTCCCCCTAAGTTGAAAGCCTCCCTATCTGTTCATCCCAGCTCGGGGGAAGCCAGCATGCCGCCAGTAGGCATTCCAGACACCCACGGGGTCACTGGTGTCCGTGGGGATTTACATGGGCCCCCCCTGGCCTGTGGTGGCCTTTCCCCTGGGATGCCCAGTAACCGCTTGTCCCATAGTTGACTTTGTTGAGTTCCCCCTTTCTCCCAGCCCCCATGGAGCTGCCCCAGGCCACCTTACGAGCAGCAGGGTCCCTCGTCCTGGTTGTGGTGGGGTGGATCTCTGGCTTGGCAGGTTCTTTCCAGGTGGGCCTTGTCTCCTCCTAGGAGGAGGTGAAGTCCATCAAGGCCCTAGGTCCAGTGGTGGGCAGAGGGCTGGGTGGAGCAGGAGAGGTGGGGCTGTGGGGCACTGGGGGCTGGGGGTCACCAGCCTTCAGGCCTCTGGCAACATCGGGCAGGTCAGCATGGTCGGCTCTGATGGGGAGGCAGGCGCCTGTGCACGAGCGGGGGCATGCTGGTGGGGTGGCGGCCTGCATCACTGCCTTGGTGGCTCGCGCTGGGGCCGCAGGGCGCACTGGGGAGAGCTCTGGCGACTGCTCGGGAATGTTCCCATGGGTCGAGTCTTTCCATGTGGTGCAGTCAGTGGGCCCTTAGGGAAAGGGAGAACCAAGCCAAGGTCTGGTGGGTCTGGAAGGTCCCTACCCTGTGTGGCTTCGAGTCTGCCCCCTTCCCTTTTGGGGGGCCATGCTGGGCAGCCTCCTGAGTCCCTGTTGTGCAGTCGAGGAAGCAGAGTCCTGTGTGACCTGCTGGGTATGGAGGCCTGGGCCCTGATGAGGCCAGCACGCACACCTGTGCCCCTTGGTGCCCACGGTGCCGGGCAGGACTGGCCCAGGCAGGAGTGGGTGTGCTGGGAGTTCCTGGGGCTCCTGCTGGCTGGGAGCAATTATTGGTCCTCACCATCCCGTGGGTGCTGGCCTGCCTTGGTGTCTCCCTCTCGTCCCGTCTTCCACACAGGGCCCTTGTGGTGTGGGGGTCCACTCACAGGGTCGGAGGCCCTCTCGCAGGGGGGTAAGTCCTTGTGCCAAAACCCCCAGTCTTCCTGCTCACAGGAGCAGGCTGTGGTTCTGGGCCCTGCTGTTGCACCGGCTCTCTCCAGGCCCCGTCTGGGGTCCCCTCCCTTGGAAGGCCTCCCTCATAGTCTGCTCACCCTCAGGGCAGCTGGAAGCCCATTTCTGGGAGCCTCCCCCCTTGTGATGGGTCCTTTCTCTTCCGGGAGCTCGGTGGCGTCCACGGTTAAGTGTCGTTACAGAAGTTTTGTTCCTTAAGCTGCTCTTGGTGTGTGTCGGATTAACTGATGCACCAGACCCGGGATGCAAAGTCAACCTCGGGTTCTGTCTGCTGAGGCTCCCATCAGCACCCACCTCGCCCCCTGAAGCTCAAGTCCAGTGCAGCTCTCTTGGCAGGTGGGCAAGGTGCCTGCGTTTCTCATGCTGCTCAGACCTCCTGCCAGGACCCAGGTAGCTCCTGGGTGGTCCTGGGACGATGCAAGGTGGCCCTGGGGCAGGCAGTCCCTGTTTAAGAGGCGGAAAGGGACATACTTCGTTGTTACTGGTTTCACATTGGTGTGTGACATTTTAGTCTTAGGAAAATTGTGTGTAAAGGGAGACGTCAGCTCTCCGGTAGTCTCCGCTGTCTAAGTGAGGGACACCTCACCTGCTTTTGGGTCTGAGATTGAGCCCCCGTCTCGGAGAGCGGGTACCTGTCTCCCCTGCAGATATGGGCTTGAGGGCAGCATCTCCCCCGTGGCTGTGCCTGTCCTCGTAGTCTCTGCTTGTTGTGGTCCCAGGATCCGGCCGGTGGGCTCGGAGTGAGCAGGGCGGCCGCCTCAAGGAGTGAGCCTTGGCTCACCAGGCAGGGAATGGGCCCAGCAGAGCCCTTCTGCCGACCTGTGGCCATGGAGGCTCCGGACAGCACCCCTCGGTGGGGCGGTGCCTCTCGAGGCTTCCCAGCAGAGGGTCGGGGACACTGCAGTCTCCCCAGGTTCATTTGTGTGTCTCAGGGATTAGAATTCCCAGACAGAGACTTCCAGGAAGGCTGGGGGCTTCGGGGAGAGGTGGGTGTGGTTCATTGGGACACAGGACACCGGAGGGCGCTCTCACTGCTTCTAGAAACGGTGTTGGGAGTAATTCCGGGGCCGTGACCGGAGACCGATGTCTTTACAGAACCGTTACCACGCCGTGCAGGAGGCTGTGTGTCCCACAAATCATCTCCAGTCCACCCCCCGAGCAGCTCCGCATGCGAGAGTGGGGCCAGGAGGGCTGATGAGCCTGGACAGTGGGCCCTGGGGCCCTGAGGCCCTGAGTGCACCTCCCTGCCCCAGCAGTGCCTTCCCTCCTGCCTCTCTGCGTTGACACCCGCGGGGAGGCTGGCGGGAGCTCGCAGCATGGCCACTCACTGCCGGCCCCTGCTTGGGGGCTGCCTTCATTTTGCTTAGGCTGCACTGATGGGCCTGTTGGAAATCTGTGCTGAGGACATGTTCTGTCCCCGCGCCCTGACACAGGGGTTGACGCACTCCCTGGGGGGCTTCCTGGGTGCTGTGGGGGCTGAACAGCTTCCCTGGCCCCACCCACTTGGTGCCAGGAGCCCTCCAGTCATGACGGAGCAGACGTCCCCAGGTGTCGCCCATGGTTCCTGGGGGCAGGATGTCCCCGGTGAGAGCCCCGCCCTGTAGATTTGCTGCCAGCTGCTGCTGGGAGCCGAGCTGAGAGCGGCCTCCCCGAGCATGAGGCTGTGTGGCCGTGGGTCCCGGGGCCTGTGCGGTGCAGCCCTCCATTGTGTTCTGGAGCTGGACGTCTGAGGACGCAAGCTGGGAGAGGGCTCTGGGGCTGGTCCCCCAGGAGCCATCAGGGGGCGGCCTGGAGCTTCCGGCTGGGCTGCGTTGTGTCTCCATGGGGACCACGTCCGGAGCTGCATCTGGCGCGGGGAGTCCGGGAGGGAGGGGCCGGGCGCCTGGGGAGAGCAGAGGGCCGCGGCATAGGGGCAGCCCTGCCGCTCCCAGTGCGCCTTGTGGCCCTCGCCCAGGCTCTCCAGGGCCCGCTCACCCCCTGGGCCTCAGCTTTGCCGTTGAGGTGGTCTCGGTGGTCCTCGGCTTTTGGGGGGTGACAAGGGTTTCTGAGGCACTGGTGCTCCAGATCCCGGGTGGAGATGGGACTCGGGCTTGGCAAAAAAGCAACAGGTGGAATTCATTTTATTTGGTTAAACAGAGATCACAAGGGGCGGGGCGGGGGGCAGGCTCCCCGCCGAGCAGAG